GGGGGGGGGGGTGGGGTGTGTGGCTGAGTTATTTATTATTGAGAGGCTAATGGCGCTGATCAGAAAAGTGCAATACTACTAATGCTTGTGTTTGTAGATGTGCGGTTCATTCTAGGTGACTTGAAATCCGGTCCTGTCTTGGTGCTGTTTTCTTTTTGAAGTTTTCCGTGATTGACAACTTGTTTTTGTATTTTAAATGCATTCCTCCCTTATATTTATGTTTTATTACTTGTCATTCATTCATTTCTCTTGCAGTGAGAGCTCTGAAAGTTGCACGGTCACAGCTAGCTCATTCCAATAGATCCAAGTGTAATGATCATGGTGGTGGCGCTCTTGGTGCTCGGATGAACCTTTTTGATCGATTTTCTAGAGTTATCAAGGTTATTAGGATGTTCATGTATGATCATTCTTTTGAGCATTCGTGCCTTCAATCTTCTTTCAGTCATACTTCACTGAAATGTCATTTTCTCTGTTTTGTCTGTTATAAGTGTAGTCATATGCAAATGCAATCATCAGCTCCTTTGAAGACCCAGAGAAGATTTTAGAACAAACTGTGCTTGAAATGAATGATGATTTGATAAAGATGCGTCAAGCTACAGCACAAGTATGTCTCCTTTTCATTTTCTTTTTTGTTTCTTGTTTATCCCCAAATTAGTCTTTATCTCCTTCTGTCCTATTTTTGAAATGAGAAAATGAGAAAGTTGCAACTTTACTGCATAACGAGACAGAGGTGGCGGCAGGCAAGTGAAAATGTTAATCTGTTTTTGGTTTCTTTCTCCTTGGGAAAAGGTTCTGGCATCACAAAAGCAGTTGGAAAACAAATACAAAGCTGCACAACAAGCTTCTGAAGATTGGTATAAGCGAAAGCTTTTTTTTTTTTTAATTTAGCTGATGCAGAAAATTTTAAGTATTTAAAATGACGGCAGTTGATTTACCCTTTAATCTGATCACAGGTACCATAGAGCACAACTTGCCCTTGGGAAGGGGGATGAGGATCTTGCTCGTGAAGCTCTTAAACGGCGCAAATCTTATGCTGTAAGCCCCTCCTCCGCCTTATTTTTCAAGGAAACTTCCTAGGTATTTGTTACATGTTTGTAATGTTATTAAGAGTTTATACCAATTTGGCTAAAATGTTTGACTAGCTTACATTATTTGTCGTATTATGATAACTATGCATCATTATGTTATTATTGTACTTCTTCGGATGACTACTCTTGTGAAGCTGACAAAGCACTAGAGAAGCCGGTCCTTAACGTTTATGTAGTTCTTTTGATGTAGAACGGGAAGGACTAGAAATCATAGAATAAAAAGAGAAGAAGAAAGAAGAGGGGGTGGAAGGGGTTTACCTCATTCTCGCAAGGAATCGGTGAAGAAACACATAAATTCTCTACGGAGAATCACTTTTTATTATATTACTCTCTCTAATTAAAAATAGCTGGGATTATACCATTATTTATAGTCCAAGTTCCCTACTAAATTAAAAACTACTTTCCTACTAAAATACTAAAAAAGTTTTATAATCAAACTCTTAAATCCCTATCTTACTAAAATTTTATGATAATTTCTTAGTTAAACTCTAATTAATACTCGTAGTGAAACAAATATTTCATAACTAATAAAATAATATTAAAACAAATAATAAAATTCAATTCTTCTATTTAAGCTCATCCAATCCCTTTTTGATCTCTATCAATTCTCTCTGGTTAAAAAAAACTCTTCTCCGAAGAGTTGTTGTAGAAAGAATACTCCAAAAGAATTGACATCAGACGGTGAAACACATCTTCAAACCTGATTGCATAGTAGTAAGATTTTCCTTCAATGACATAATATAGGATATCACAATGGGAGGAATCTGTATCTCGAATCTTCATAACCTTCACACTTTGTTCCAAATAAAAGGACGGTGAGGATGTTGATGAAAAAGTAGTAACCCCATCTAAAAAAATTACGCTTGAAACTTGCTTTTCATCTGTAGGAACACCCTTTGCAATTGACTTGTCAAAAGCAATTGTTATAGGATGAGTAGAAATAGAAGTAGAACTTTTGGGCTCATCGACATTGAATAACTTCGGTTTATCGTCATTCAATTGTGGTGGAACTTGTGGTGGTGGAACTTGTGGTATAATTAGAGGGCTGTGTTCAACCACTTTTTGATTGACAGTTGAAGAGACAAAATTAAATCCTTTACTTGTTTTGGTTTCAGAAACTATAGCGAGCACAAATTCTCTCAGTGAATCAATGGATGCTTGAATTGTATCTAGTCTAGCATTCATAGCTTTTTGTGAATCAAACTTGTGCTTGGGATAAAACCTCCACTTTAGCATTTAATTTGACATTGAAAACTATATTGATTGGAAGAGAATTTTAAAAACTTTTTTTTTGAAAATTCTGAGGTCAATCTATAATTTTAGAAAATTCTAGGACTAAACTATAATTTTTGAAACTTAGGGGCCAAAATGTAATTTTAAAAACTTTTGGGCCCAAAATATAATTTTAGAAACTTTTGGGGGGCAAAAGTGTAATTTTGAAAACTCTAAGGGGTCAGATATATAATTTTATAAGGCTTGGGGGTGTTTGTGTAATTTCGTGAATTTGGGTATTGTTTTTTGTGTTATGAGTTTTGTATAGTGGGCAGTGGTTATTTTTTTTTGTTGGACTTGGTTCTACTAAGTTTTTTGGAAAGGGACTAAAACTTAAGGATGATAGACAAATCTCAAGAAACACAACAACAATCGAGAATGATTGAAGTTGGGCTCTGATACTAAACTGATGTAGAACGGGAAGGACTAGAAATCACATAATAGAAAGAGAAGAAGAAAGAAGAGGGGGGGTGGAAGGGCTTTACCTCATTCTCACAAGGAATCGGTGAAGAAACACATAAATTATCCATAGAGAATCACTTTTTATTATATCATTTTCTCTAATTAAAAATAGTTGGGATTACACCATTATTTATAAGCCAAGTCCCCTACTAAAATAAAAACTACTTTCCTACTAAAATACTAAAAAAGTTTTATGATCAAACTCTCAAATCCCTATCCTACTAAAATTCTATAATAATTTTCTAGTTAAACTCTAATTAATACTCCTAGTCAAACAAATATTTCCTAACTAATAAAATAATACTAAAACAAATAATAAAATTCAATTCTTCAATTGAAGCTCATTCAATTCTTTTTCGATCTCTATCATCTTCCCACTAAGAGAGTTGATAACTACCCTCTATTGTATGTCAATTTTGAATTTATTGTAATGAAGTATGCTGAGATGAAATGGTAAAACATTGTGAATTTTTTTTAAAAGATTTTAATATCATGACCCAAGAAATTTAATGCTTCTATTCGTCTCTAGATATGACTCAAATTTTCTATTTTTATATTTTGAAGGTAGATCATTGTACTTTCTTTGCGATTTGTGGGGATAGTGGTGGCATTTTAGTTTTATGTATTAGGGTATTCTATTTTTGTATTAGTTGCCTGGTGCAGTTCTGTTTAACATTAACGTTTTGCTGGGTGAGGAATGTGGAGAGTTTATTGCCAAACTCTAACTGGTAAAGCATGCTTCTAAATTTAAGTGCTTTGATTCGATTATTATTTGGACCAGCAAATGATGGTGGATAGAGTGGAATGTTTGTAGACAAACATGTAATTAAAATGTTAGTTTCGGTCATCGACGAATGGATTATCTAACAAATCATCTTGTTCTATGGGTGTTTCACATATTCCCCGAGAAGGATGGAAGTTGGAAAGTGTAGCCTATTCTCTAGTTAGAGTGTTGAGAGTGGAGACCTAGACATATTTTATACATTGATGGAGTTATTGATGTAGGTTGGGGAGAGGAAGAAGAGAAAGAAAAAGTGGATACCAATGCCTAGCAAGATTTGGTCAAGAATCACAAATTCTCTACAGAGAAACAATTTTATTGATATCACACTCTAATAAATTTGGAGTGATTATATTGATATTTATAGGCCAAGTCTCCAGATGATCACCCCTAAGGACTGGGCAACCCTTACGACTTCGAAGTCTTGGAAGCTTCTTTTGTGGACAATTGATTCATGCAATCATACTTTTTGTCATATGAATGTGAAGTTCAATAATTATTCTAGACACATACATTGTCAATTTAAGATAAATTTTTTTTTCATTATCTATTGTCAAGAAAAAAATAGTATCATTAGTAAATTGTAAATGAGAAACTGAAATTCTATATCTACCATCTCAAAATCCTTATCTCCGAATGCACTTACTTCATCAAATTATCCTTAATAACAACCTAGCAATCTTGAAAAATAGCCATAGTAAAATCATTTTGTACTGGAGGAGGTATATTTAGAGATTCTACTAAGGAGGAAAAGTGTGTAAATTGGAAAAGTCTCTTTATAGGCCGAAGTAGTTTTTGAGGGCTTGATTTGATGAGATTTTTTTAGCTATCTTGAAATTTAGATACGGACAGAGCCATGTTGATCATCTTATGTACTCTGATGACAAAACTACCAATCTCATTATCTAGGTGGATGACATAGTACATGGAATGATGTGTAGGAAGTTGGCACACTTAAAGCTCATTTAGTTGGAGTTTGAAAACAAAGATATTGGTTTGTTGAGGTACTTTTTACTTTCTAGTGATTGAAGTCTCCTGATTAGATATACATATTTTTAATTCCCAAAAAATTTGGTTAAATTTCACTAACACCCTGTACAAAATGGCCCAATTAGAGGGACACCTTCGATGATTTTTGAGATATCACTACCGCCCCCAGTCAGATTTTGTCTTTACCGAAGTGAACGAAAATTGTATTTTCACACAAATTCCTTTAATAGAAAGTCATTTTCACTCATTTATCCTCCCTTTTGAGTGTATACTCATATATATACACATAAATACTGTTGGCCAATTTTGAATTCAATTTCATCAAATTAACATTCAATTTCATCGATTTAGCACCAACTGAACATTCAGTTTCATCAATTTAGCACCAAATGGACATCCTGTGTCATCAATTCAGGACCAAATGAACATTCAGTTTCAATTCAATCAATTATTAAACATTCAGTTTTATCAAAGCAATATTTAATTTTATTCGATTAATATTCAGTGTTATCTAATTAACACTAAATTAACATTAAATTTTTAATATTTAAAATTTAATTTTGTCAAATTAACACTAACTTTACCTTTAATTTCATGAAAATTAACATTCAACTCTATCTAAGGAGCATTTAATTTCATCAATTAAATATTGAAGTGTATCGAATTAATATACAATTATATTTAACTATTGTTGAATTTTATCAAATTCACTAAATTAACATTAACTTTTATTATGAAATCAGCACTAAATTAACATTAAGTTTCATCAAATGAAGGTTAGATATACCTTCAATTATATCAAATTAAAAGTTCAATTCTATCAAATTAACATTTATTTTCATCAATTAAGTGTTCAATTTCATCCAAATAATAGTCATTTTCATCAAATTAACACCAATTTAACATATATTAATTTAGTTTTCAATTTCATCAAATTAACACTAAATTGACATTTAGTTTTATCAAATTGGCATTCAATTTAACACAATTTTCTCAAATTAGCACTAAACTAACATTCAATTGATGAAAGAGAGTGCATAGTGATGGTGGGCTGTGCTGATGACTTTTGTGTAGGGGAGGGAGAGAGAGAAGAGGATGGAGAAAAAGCAAAAAGAGACTAAGGGATGTTTGGGTACAAGATTAATATTTTACAACTTTATATTTAAAGGGCAAAATTGTCATTTAAGGAGGTATATTCGTTGACATCATCACTTTTTGGGCATGTCAATAGTGTCTCTGATAGTAGGGCTAGTATGTTAAACGAACATATAAACTACGGGGGTGACAAAATTATAGGGGGTGTCCTTGTAATTAAGTCATTTTTCAAGGGTGTCAATGAAATTTACCCAAACAAATATGATCTTGACCAACTTGAAGAAACAAACATGTTAGTTTGTGGACTAGTAGGTTCTATTAAAGCTACTAGATTGCGTGGTGGTATTGGGGATGTAGTCGATAAGGAAAGGTGTGATATATTTTTCTCATGGTCGACCAGCTATTGCCTATGTCGCGGGAGTTGTTAGTCAAGTCATGCATAGCCCTTGTAACTTTTACGTCGAAGGTGTTGGTCGTATCTTTGAGGTATTTCAAGTGAGCCCTAGAAAGAAAGTTTTGTTCTCCAATCATGGTTGCTTAAAGCTAGAAGCATTTAGGCCTAGCAAATGGTAGAGGTCTACCTCATGCTATTGCGCTTTAATAGGAAGGAACCTTATCACTTGATGAAGGAAAAGAAACATGTGGTAGTTAGGTCTAGTATAGAGGCTGAATGTAGAACAATGACTCATTGATTTTGTTAGCTTATGTTACTCCAAATCTTATTGGGAGAATTAAGGATTATGATGGTGGACCTATGAGGCTATAGTGAAGGCTGCTATCAACATTGCTTATAATCTAGTTCAACATTGTTGGAATATAGGAATGGTATTATTGTAAGAAGGATACCCCTTAACGGGTATATAGGTCTTTTCTTTATTATTGGATACATATATATATGGAGTGGAGAGATGTGATTGATAGATACTTTCTCACACCACCTCCTTCTATATGACTCTCTCTCTTTCTAAACCCTATTCTTCCTATTATCACATGGTATCAAAGCNTTGTAAGAAGGATACCCCTTAACGGGTATATAGGTCTTTTCTTTATTATTGGATACGTATATATATGGAGTGGAGAGATGTGATTGATAGATACTTTCTCACACCACCTCCTTCGATATGACTCTCTCTCTTTCTAAACCCTATTCTTCCTATTATCACATGGTATCAAAGCTAGCCAATTAAGGATCCTACTTCTTCTTTCTCTATTATTTCTTCCTTTAGTTTCCCCTTTTTTTTTTCTCTTCTTTTGACAGAGATCTATCTATTGAATAGTTGTTAGCTAGGTGTTGAGTTTCCTAGCCCTAGTCGTTGTTCTTCGCTGGCGGAATCTCTACCCGTGTGCTGTTGCCACACAGTGGATTGATCGAGTCTTTGCTTATGATCATCTTCAATGTTGTTGTTGGTTGATGTGTTTTGTTGTGGGTTTGTGATTTATAGCCATGATTGGTGTAGTTATTCTTTGGTGGAGTTGTTTCTGTGGGCGACAGCATTACTCTGTGTGAGATATCTCGTTTGTTGAAGAAAAAGGGTGGTGTTTAGTTATAAGACAAAGCAAGTTCTATCCTGGATTAGTGTGTCCAGATTTTTTTTTGTTTGGACTGAACCCAGTCCAGCCCAGTTTGCTTTTGATGAATCCCAGCCAGCAGATCAGGCCCTCAGCACAAATCCGGTTCATGACAGGCCAGTTCAACCCCATTTAGACCAGTTCAGCACCATTCATGCCGGTTCAGGACCCATTTTGACTGTTTCAGGCAACATTCAGACCAGTTGACCCTTCATCTGTCCCTTCCTGTACCAGTTCAAGCATTCCCACCCCTATACAGGTCTGGTTCGGCCTCTGAACTGCTTTGACAGGTTCATTTCAGCCTTTAGACTGCTTTGAATGTCCAGTTCAGGCCTTTCTTACACTGGTTCAGGCCTTTTCCAGCTTTGGTTCAGCCCATTCCTCTTGGTTCAGCCTTGTTTTTTGCCTATTACTTCTTGTTTGGGTTGGATTAGTTAATCCTCGACAAGGTTTTTACTTCAGTTCTGTGGGAATGTATTCTAAGATTGATTATTCGGTACCTCCTCTAGCCATTTCTGCACCCTCAACCCCCAAAATTTTCAATTGCTTCACTCTTTCATGCTCCGATGACCTCGATTAAACTCAAAGGTAGTAATTATGTTCTTTGGGCTCGGTCGATTGATGTTTTCCTTGAGGGAAAAGGACTTGGTATACGTTTGGTGGATGACAAACCGAAAGAAAGTGACTTAGGTTTTGTGCAGTGGGACCAAGAAGATGCATAGATTATTTCACTTACGTTGAATAGTATTGAGCCTCACATCAGTTGTTCCTTATTTTATCTGGACACTGCTAAGGAGATATGAGATCAATTAACTGAGATGTATTTTGGTACTGGCAATCTTACTCAAATTTATGAGGTGTGTAAGCAATATTTTAGTCTTAACCAGGGTACTTTGAGTCTTGAAGAGTATTTATCTAAGGTTATGGGGACCTATCGAGAACTTCAGATGTATGAACCTATTACATCTAGCATTTCTCGCATGCGGCAACAACATGCGGATCTTGATGTAGTTCGGTTTTTAGTTGGGTTGAAATCAGAGTATGAGCCTATCAGTGCACAGATTTTGGGAGTCCTAAACTTCCCTATCTCCCATGTCTTTTCTCGGCTTTGACTGAGTTATATTGTCAGAACATGGCACTTCTCCCAATATTGAGCATAGTGGTGATTGTTCTGTTTTAGTTGTTTCTTAGGGTGGATCCAATGGTTATCATGGAGGTTGTAGTGGTAAAGGAGGACGTGGTAATCGTGATGGTTCTAGTAGCTCTTGTGGCAGTTGTGGTGGTAGGGGAAGCCATATATGTACTCATTGTAGTTGTAGTAATCAGACTGTAGGTCCGTGTTGGGACTTATATGGCAAATAATCTAGTTTGGCTCATCAGGCTTCTTATCAGGAGGATGACCCCTTACCGCACCTAATCGATCCGCTCAATCACCTTCTTCTGATCTCATTTCTATTTTTTGAGATGAATATGCTTAGTTCTCGTCTCTGAAACAGGCCATGTATTCCTCCACAGCTACGTGAGCTCACTCAGGTACAACATTTGTTTGTTTACTCTCTTCCACTTTTAGTCCGTGCATCATTAACTCTGGAGCTTCTAATCATATGATCGGCTCTTCGGGTCACTTATCTAATTTTCACCCCGTAGCCTCGTCTCGCCATGTTACACTTGCTAATGACTCATCTTCTTAGGTTTCAGGTTTGGGTACTGAGTCTATCTATTATTAAGATTACTCGCTCTTTTAAATGCTCTGTCACGTTTTATCGTTCGATTTGTATCTTTCATGATCTCAAGACCAAAAACATGATTGGTATAGAGCATGAATCAGGTGGCCCCTATTATCTTAACTTTGAGCCTCTTCCTAGAGCATACCAGACCTCACTATCCTCTCTTCAATGGCATTGCCATCTTGGGCCTCCATATCTTCTAGTTTTGAAGTCTCAAGTTCCTAGTTTTAGTTATGTGTTACCTTTGTTTTGTGAAGCTTCTCAACTTGGTGTCCTCTAAATCTAGGATTGAAAATCGTGTTTCTACTCCTTTTGAATTAGTTTATTCTAATGTATGGGGACCCCCACCTATTCTTCTATTAATGGATTTCGTTATTTTGTGACCTTTTGTGGATGATTATTCTCGTATGACTTGATTGTTTTTAATGAAATTCCATTCAGAATTGTTTTCTATCTTTTAATTGTTTCGCAAGCAAATTAAAACACAATTTGGTTGCAATATTCGTATTTTACGATCTGATACTAAAGAATATACTTCTAATCCCTTTTAGGCTTATTTTGATCAACGAGATATTGAGCACAAGAATCATTAATTCTTGGATGTCACCTGAGCACTCTTATTTCATATGAATGTTCTTCCTTGTTTTTGGCTTGATGTTGTCTTAACTGCATGCCATCTTATCAATCATATGTCTTCTACTGTCTTATAAGAAAAATCTCCACATTCGGTCTTGTTTTATGGATCTTCTTTGTTTACTCTTCCTCAAAAAGTATATGGATGTGTCTATTATATCCATAATCTTGGTCTTGGTTTTGCTAAGCTTAACCCTCGAGCTACTAAGTGCATCTTTCTTGGTTACTCCTGTACCCATAAAGGTTGCCGTTGTTGCAGCCCCTCTTCAACTTTCGGCTCTGGTTGCTTTATTCTCTGTTCCTTTGTTGTCCATGAGTCCAAACGCATATCCTCCCACCCCTTTCATGTTTATTCTCATTGATCAAGGCCACCTACTATAGTTCCACCATCGCTTCCTCGTCATCTTCAGATCCGACCTCCTTTGCAGTGTCTGATTCTATACCTTCTGTTGTGTTTGATTGCCTACCTATTGCTATCTGTAAAGGTACTTGTTTCTCTGTTAGTAACCACCCCATTGTTAACTATGTTTCTTTCCATTTTTTATCTCCTTCCTTTTCTTGTTTTACTTCTCAGTTATCCAATATCTCTGCTCATAAGACTTTAGCAGATGCCTTATTTGATTCGGGTTAGAGGACAACTATGGAGGACGAGATGAATGCTCTCCATCACAATTATACTTGGGATTTTGTTTAGCTACCTCCTAGTAAGTAGGATGTTGGGTGTCGTTGGGTATATTCCATTAAATTTCTTCCGGATGGCACTGTAGATTGTCTTAAAGCTTGTTTGGTTGCCAAAGGATATACCTAAATTTATGGTGTTGACTATTCTGAGATATTTTCTCTTCTTGTTAAAATCTCTTCTATTAGAGTTTTAATTTTGCTTGCTACTAATATTGACTCACCTTTATTCCAATTAGATGTCAAGAATGCTTTCCTATATAGTGATCTAGCATAAGAGGTTTACATGGAGCAATTACTTGGATTTGTTGTTCAAGGGGAGTATTAGGGCTGTGTGTGTAAATTAAAGAAAGCCTTGTATGGGTTGAAACAATCTTTGCGTGCATGGTTTGGGAAGTTTTCAGAGGCAGTGTTAAAGTTTGGTCTTCATAGGTGCCAAATAGACCACTTCGTATTTTATCTACGAACTGAGGCAGGTAATATCCATTTTGTTGTTAATGTTGATAATATTATGATTACAGATGATGATTTTATGGGTATTGTAAAGTTGAAACAGTTTTTATAGCATGAGTTTTATACCAAAGATTTAGGCAAACTTAGATACTTTTTTGGTATCAAAGTTGTTAGATCTAAACATGACATAAGTGTATCTTAGAGAAATTATGTGCTTGATCTTTTGGAGGAAATAGGGTTTTTATGTGGTCGACTGGTGGACATTCCTATGGATCCAATTCATAAACTCTTAGGGAGTGAGGGTGAATGCTTCTTTGATCTTGGACGGTATCACCATTTAGTTGGAAAGTTGAATTACCTCACTATTACTTAACTAGATATCTTATATGTAATGAGTGTGGTTGGTCAATTTATGGAAACTCCTTGACTACCACATTGAGATGCCGTCATTCGTATTATTCGGTATCCCAAGTGAGCTCTCGGACTTGAATTATTGTATTAGTTGCATAGGCGTTTTAATTGGAAGGGTTCATAGATGTAGATTGGGCTGGGTCTCCTTCAGACAAACGTTCTACTACATGTTATTGCACCTTTCTGGGAGGCAATCTAGTTACTTGGAAGTTTAAAAAGTTGACAATGGTGGCACGATCTAGTGCAGGGGCTGAATACTGGCAATGGCTCACATATGCAATGAGTTAACGTGGCTACAATACTTCGTTCAAGAAATTGGTTTTCCAGTTTAAACTCCACTTTAGTTGTTCTGTGATAATCAAGCAGGGTGTTCATATGGCTGTTCATATAGCGTTTAATCTTGTGTTTTATGAACAAACGAAACACATTGAAGTTGATTGTCACTTCATTCGAGAAAAGGTGTTGTATGAAGACATTATCACACTATTTGTCAAGTTTGAAGATCAACTTGCTAATATGTTTACTAAATCCTTGAGTGGTACTCATTTGAGAAATATTTGTTCTAAGTTGGGATTGCATGATATATACTCGCTGGCTTGAGGGGGAGTGTTAGAATATAGGAATGATATTATTGTAATAAGGATACCCCTTAAGAGGTATATAGGTCTTTTCTTTATTATTGGATATATATATATATATATATATATATATGGAGTGGAGAGATGTGGTCGTTAGATACTCTCTCTCGTCACCTCCTTCTCTATTACTCTCTCTCTCTAAACCCTATTCTTCCTATTATCACAAACATGATAGAACCAACTATGTTGTGATAGATTGACGCCTTATCTTCGATTAGTAGAACAAGCTTTTTGACTTGCATGCATTTTGTGAAGTCAGAAGACCAGTTGACTATTGTTTTCATCAAGAGGCTGAACAACAAGATTTTTCATTCTAGTGTTCGCGATTTGGACATGAAAGATATCCATATACCAAGTAGGGTTATGTCTTGCTTTATTTTTAGTTTAGGTAATTTCAGTATTTTGTATAATTGCCTGTGTGTCAATGTAGTCTGGGTTGTAGTTGTGTGACTTAACACACTATTCTCGCCTTTATTTTCTTTTTCTCTCCCAAACCTTTTAAGCCATAAAAAATCGTAGCTTTGACAATCTAACTGAAACCTTGCTCCTTACTTTGCACCTTCAGCAACCATCTCTGTAACTGCTTCAACCATCTTGAACACATTTGTTCAAACTTGCAAATTTCAATAGCCTTCTCAGCAGAATCACAAAAGTATGCTGCTTTATC